CACGGGGATGAATACTTTGAGAAAAATCAGCTCTTACACTAAATTCAGTAATAAAGGTCTCACTGATTCCAACTACACAGAAGGCGGCCCAGCATCAGCTGCTTCTCTGTGGTAGCTTAAAATCCGTGACAGGGCTGAAATACTAATTTTTCCTAACATAATTTTTACTTATTTTTTAAGCACTTGAATGACATCCCCGTTTTTGCAGAGCAAGCATTTCACCACCTGGCTGATGAGGCTTTCATACCTTCATCCCAGCAGCCATGCCTCCTTGCTGGAACAAGGATGCACTGCTTTGGCTGGCACCTAAGCCGTGCCTGCAAGTCCACCAGCATGGACATCAGCACCTCCCAGCGCCAAGGTCTATAAAATGCCGTATGTGCACATTATCTTCATGATAGTGCCAAGGAGACAGATGACAAGTTCTTCAAACACTTCAGGACAGTGCCAACTGTTTTTTAATACTTTTAATGCGCTGATTTCATTAGAGGGAGACTTGTATCCAGACACGGTGGAGCTCTAGCTTGGCGATGCAGATGTATGCGAACCCCATGTAGCCACCGTAAGGAGAGCCAAAGGGCCTCTTGGCCCAGCAATTTGGTTCTCAGGTAGGCCTGCAGGTTATGCTAAATTTCGTGTTGCAACAGTTAGTCACTGAACAAAATTCATGCCTGAATATAATAATTGCTTTCTGGAAGCAACAGCCACAAAATCTTATATTGCTGTGTAGACTGGAGGTGTACAAGGCTTATGAGAGTCTTCCACTACCTTCCTCATGTGGTAGCATTGCCATCACTAAATACTAGAGGAAATCTCCCATAAACTGTGTGCAAACATGCTCTAAACTGCCAACTTTCATGTGTCCATGGTCATTTACGCAACCCTAAATGGTTTGCTAATCCATTTCTTCAACTTCAAAATACAGCCATTCACACCCTGTCTTCAAAAGCATCTGGAAATTGATCCAAGGTATTACACAACTAATTGCTAGTTGGATTGCTCAGACATCCTGTAGCTGACAAAAACAAACAAAAAATCCAGATTAGACTATTCTATGCAACATTCAGTAGTGTGCTTCCTTCTCTTATCCCCTCAAAAAGACTGGTGAAAATGAAAAATTTCTTAGAATATTGACTCAAGCAAGCAAATTGTCATTCTATTAATTTCTTATTTATTTCTGCACTATTTCAGGCAGCCTAGAGATTCCTGGAAAGAACAGACACTGAAATAATTCTCATTTATATTAGTGTGCGCCATATTTAGCTGGAAGGGTCTGCTTTACTGAGGGCCTCTTTAAACCTTGTCCATCTGGTTTCAATCAAATCACCAAAAGAAACAGCAAATGTCTCCTTCAGAATAGCTGTTTCTTGCTCATTACAATATTCAGTTACAAGTAAATAAACTGGCAGAAGTTGCATTGCCTGTATGTCATAATGATGAGCTCCGATACCTGGTCTGACCTCAGGACAGTAGTGGAGTAGTGCAGCCAACAAGCTCTTTAAATAGCATAAAAAGAGCTGAAATGGGGATTTTGATCCCAATATACAAGGGAATAATATAGTCAGGGCAGACATCACTCACATTTCTTAACAGGACTTCTACTACAGCTCACAGGCAGTGTGTGCTAGTTTCCTGAGTAGAGTGGCAAGCCTAAAGATGCACTGCGTCTTGTTTTAAGTGTGCTTGGGATTTTCATGTGTGCTTAAAACCAAATCACCAAATCTAGCCAGACCAAGTATAAATCTGATTCCTCATCAGAATGGATATATGCAATATGGCCATAACAATTGAAGGCGAGCATACAGGTCAGTCTACAGAATTCACTGTAGACTAGACATGAAACATAATAATTAAAAAGTTCGTAACTACTGCAAACGAAAACTGTTCACAAGCTAAGCATATCAAAAGGCTGCAGGAACACACACTCAACACCTTAAACTATCTTGTGAGGTGCTGAGCTACAAACCTCACTTCTTATTCCCTAAACCTGGCCATTTTGTTGTGGCTGCTGACGGTTTCACCTGCGGTCCCGTAGTTAAATTACCTGCTGGGTTTTGGACATCTCTGTAACACTTCTCCTGTACCACTTGTCGGTACCAGCTTCCAACTCCTTTCACGCGTGCCGGTGTCCTCTCTTTGAAGAGGACAAGTGCTGCTGGCCTGAACTTCGGGGTTTCCCAACCGCCTGAACTGAGCGGGCCTCTGCAAGAAAAGTTTTCACAGAAACTAGACTAATGATTGGTGGAGGTCATCCGTAAGAGGCACAGCAGAATTTCATATATTCATTATTTACCTGAAAGCCATGATAAGAAAAAGACTCAGAACTGTGCCTTATTTAACCACTAACTTCTGGCATGTCCCCGTAAATCACACTCGGCACCTCTTCCACAGCACCTTCCCTCAGCTGAGGCCCAGGCATTTTCTTAACCTCTTGAGTTTGGCATCTTGAGCCTGTTCAACACCTTTAATTCTGTGCTCTGGCCTCGACGACAAATTTCCAGTTGACTAAAGCCACATGGGTCAGCATTCCCCAGACTTATGACATTTATAATTTTTTGCTCCTTTTAACAGCATTAGGTCGTTTCAGAGATACGCAGTTTCTGCCTCATCTCTGAAAGAGATTTCTTTCATACAGTTTCATCTGCCTAACACCCCCCCTAGATGCAACTCCATGGCGTAAAACATAGCATCAAGCAGGTAAGCTATAGAAACAAAGCAGTAGAGATTTCAGTCTCCTTGGTTTTACACAGAAATTGTGCACTCTCTCATCTCAAAAACCCTAATCATTACAACCTAAGAATTTCTATCATATCATGTTATTAGTCTATTTTAAAGCTATAAGAAATGCAGCGCTCTTTTTTGAGCTTTTCAAAAGCAAAGCTCAGTGAAATCCAAACTGATGTTACCAATTATGTTATTGCCTCCCCAGTTTCAAGTTCTTTGCTTTCCAAGTGTAGTGATTTTTTAAAATGAATTGTGCATGTTATGGTGGTTATTCAACAACTTTTCTAAAAATCCAATATAAGGTGATTTCCAACAGCCGACACAAAATACTGACATAACTCAAATACTCTCATTAAAACCGAGTTTGAAAATCACTTTTTATTAATTTTCAAATATAAATCAAGATTTTCTGCATTTGCTTATACAATGCAAATCATCTCCCCTATGGTCAGTCCATCATAACAGATTGTGTTTAATCACTGCAACATATTAAAATAAATTTTTGAGAGTTAAAAAGAAGAAACAAAATCAGGGACAAGATCCAACATTGTTCACCTTCCTCGTAGAGCACCCCAGAGAACACAGCAACTCTGCCACCTCAGCAGCCTTACACTCATTCATGAGTTGTACCCATTCTAGGATGTTCTCTTTTCGCACTTCTTAGCCCTCTTTAGGGTATTCCCTTTCTTGACTCCAGCATTCATAGTGCCACGTGGCTATGCCCACACACACAGCAAGTAGTGGTACCTCTAGTCGGACGGCGTTACTCTTGCTCACATCAGATACTATCTTTCTCCACGCGTGTTCTGAGACATTCCTCCAATTAACAATAACCCACAGCCTCATGCCAGACCCTGACTGAAGTGCAAGAACAAGTAAGCCAAGCTTTTAGAAGCAAACCTGACTGTAGGCCAGGATCCCCTGCCAACCCAGGCTTCCTCGTTGTTGGGTCACCCATGTGCCTTCCACTAATTAACTAACACAATGTCAATGGAATAATAGACAATAAAGCAATCAAAGCCCAAATTAGAGCCAGAATTTTCCCTTTTACACCTGTAACAACAAAGAACCTCCCAGTGCACTTAAGAGCAGATGTAAGTATACAGCAACCTGCTGAATAGTACACTGAACAGTAGTTGCTGTAGGCCACGACAGAGGCACAGAGAAAGAACTGCGTCACTTTTAGACTCTGAGCTCTAAGCCAGATTGTCAGACACAGTAACAGATGGACACACAGTAGACAGAACCTCAGGTAGGCCAATAATCTGCTTTAAATTGTACCTCTGCACCACAGTCAGTGCAAGCTGGGCACTAGGCTTCTATACAGTAAGTACGTTACATGAAGAACCTTTGTTGCACAATTAGCCAGCCACAGCACGAATGCTGGTGGTTGCTTTGTGATGACAGCCAAACTGAGCATTGAGTTCCAGCCTAACACTTTTTGTTGCTGTTGTTCTGGTGAAGGCTTTTTTGGTTGGGTTTTTCTAAATGCTTCTGATTATAAAGATTTACAATCTTTTAATCCTGGAAATCTCACTAATAAATCCAGTCCTGCTTTCAGCCTACAAGGATGATAGTGCCTTTACAAGAGCAAAGCTTCAAACAAAAATTTAAGATTTTTTTTTTTCCTACAAGCACTGTAAGTCCCAGTTAACAAATGCAAATGCAACAGACAGAAACTCAGCCCTTGAGTAAGTCTGCATTTTTAATGCACTACTATCTGCAGTAGAAGCTGAAAAAGCAACCTGTAAATTATGAAGTGACTATGTCTTAAAGCCCTTTGGGTTGATAATGAGGCCAGTCAGCACTTTTCCACAACAAGATGCTTCATTTTGGTCCTTACAGGACAAAGTCTCTAACAAGTAGCATGCTGGTGGTCGGTTAAAAATGGAGCTACTGTAATTGCAGACTGCCAAAAGACTTCTATGTCTCAGGCCGCATAAAACCCTCAGCTTATTCCCTTTGTCCAGAACACTGAATATTTTAATTCACAAATCTTGACTGGTATGACTGAGTAAAAGAAAGAGTTTATCATTTTATCATTAGTGTTTCTGTACAATCTGCTAGAATGCCTGGTATACACTCACATGTACCTTTCACCTTTTTCATTTTACAATTACTTAATTTCAGCATTTAAAGTTTCCTCTAATAGCAGTTCTAAAATCCCACTTTGTTCCAGTGCTTATGTGAACTAGAGTTGTACCACTTCCACTTCTGGAAACCAATTTAGTTTTGCTGAACACACTGCCTTGCACCACTGTTATCTTCATCTTCTACTACAGGCTCGAACGAGTCAGCCAGGGAAATTCCTAGAAGGAAAAAAAATAAAAACACAGAACAAAAAACCATATCAGAATGGACAAACAGTAAGAGGAACAGGATACAAATACGTATTAACTACTAGACGGCATCCACAGGAAATAAAGACTACTCAATGTTTTGTCTCATTTTGTCAGGAATGGAAAGCAACAACCATAAATTCTGGAAATGGTCATTTAAGACACTATGCATTAGTAATAGCCAACAGAAAAAATAAAAACAAAACAAAAAACAACAAAAGCAGATGGCACAGCATAAAAGCACCCATTCTCCTATCTCCCAAATCTAAAGGCAATCTTTCTGCCTAGCAACTATCTCTGCCTTCTCCGCGGTTTAAGTGATACTTCCTGAAGATTTCAGAGGCTTGCCTACATTAAGGTTGCAGAAAAAGGAAGGAAAACATATACATACCTGTTTCTTTCTCTCAGACTGTGGATCAATCATTACATTTATAAGAGCAGGTGTCTGCTTGTCAGTGATGCTTGCTTTCAGAGCATTCTGCAATTCTTCTGGTGTTTTAACCAAGTATCCTTTACCTCCAAAGGCAGACATAACTAGCTCATAGCGTGAATTTGGCAGTAGAGAAACAGGAGGCACACTATAACGAAATGGAAAACCTCTGATTAACAGCAGGGAAGAATTGCCAGACTGACCAATTTAATTATCTTACACTTTAGAAATCAGTGCTGAAGTAATTATTGTGCTGGCCTGATGAATTTTGGGCTGGAAGAACTATATTTCCTACACCACTTAAGCTATATTTATAAGGTAGCATGCTCATTTTCATCTTCTGCAGTCATTCCTGAGCAAAGCTTTCACCTAGTTCTCTTCGTACAGAGATTTCAGCTCCAGAAGCAGAAGCCCAGTGTAAACTCAGAACACGAATCTCAGGTTTAGGGTTGGACTAGATGACCCACAGAGGTCCCTTCCAACCCCTACCATTCTGTGATTCTGTAATTTTGGAGATTATCACGATTTTAGAGGCTGGCCCACTATGAACTCTGTACTGTGTGGCCTGAACTGCTGAAGGAACCTCTCTGCTGCGCTGTTCTGTAAACAATAGTCTGGAATTAGCTTGGTTGCTTGCTTTTGGTAAATGGTTCTTACTTATACGACCTTAGCCTAGGACTAAGCTTACTCTATGAAAAATTTGGATCTCAATCACAAAGCATTACAAGTGAAGAGAATGACCATTTTGGTCACTTCTTCCTTAACTAACAGGACATACTTTGAAGATGCTCACCATGTAGCAGGATCTCCAAACTTTAACATCTCCTTCCAGGCATCTGCATCCAAACCAGTGTAAATCCCATTGTTATTTACTACGATAATCAGGATTGGCAAGTTGTATCTACAAAAAGATGCATTTGGAAGAATTCTGAAGTACCTGCACCTTTCTGCAAGGTGTTAAAAGTGTTACTTTTCCTTAATAGTAAAATAAATTAAAAAAAATTCACTTCCACATCAAACACGATCTACTCATCACTGGTAAAGCATTATGTCCCAACAGCATAAAAATGACGACATTTATTTTTTGGCTTGTTTTCATGTGCTTTTCAGAGCACCCCATCTAACAGCAGTGTCCTTGGCCTTCTAGTTAATTTGATCCTGAAAACATACAGCGAGGGTCTTCCTGAGCAAAAAAACAGTTACCTGCAAATAGTCTCCACCTCCATCCCAGAAAATCCGAAAGCACTATCTCCCTCTATGCAGATGACTCGCTTTTCCGGTGTTTGGTCTTTAGCTACCATTGCAGCTGCAATAGCAAAACCCAGTCCCACTCCCATTGTTCCAAAAGTACCTGCATCGAGCCTAAAAGGGGAGAATACTAAATTACTTTATTTCCAAACTTTTTTTAAAGTAAAGATAAGTCACCATGGATTAACTTTAATTTGCCACATACTATTCAAATACCGTTTCATAAAAAAACGGTATACCAAGATACCACATGTATAGATTATTATACTCAGTCAAAGATTTGATAGGACTGCAAATGTGATACAAACACACTGGAACTCTAATTAAAATTAAGAACTCTGACACACTAGCTGTACCGCAATAAAGAACTCCTCTTGTATGCTTTTACCTTGCATAGTAACTATATTTCATAAATGTTCAATTACTGTAGAGATAGGCAGACTACATGAAATCTTTCTATATTTAATCCCTCGAAAATATAACTAGAAGTCTGAAAGCCATCGGTTAAATACTGCTGTTCAAATTTTAGTCTTCTGTTCAACTTTTGAAATCAAATTGAAAGCCGTAATTAGGTTAGATCGTTTCAGTCAGAAGCACATAATGCATACAAAAGTACATAAAGAACTAGACTAGTCTAGGGTTAACTTCTCAAATTTGCTTTCAGCTATGCGCAATGCAATCTGAAAAGACAATCATTAACATTACTGTGCCCTTCTTTTAAATAAGGGGGAAAAACATGCAAACTCTTCCTCCAAGTTTACTGGAAGCAGGTTTTGGTTTTTTTTGTTTAGTTGGTTATTTTTGTTTACAAAAAAAGTATTTAGGTTCTTTTAGGACTTCAGCACTACTTTTACAAGGCGGCACAAGCTTCACAGTCAGACAAGAAGTTTCTCCTCACCAGACAGAACTCACTTTTCCTCCCTCATTCATAAGAAACAGCACTGAATTTCTACTTACATTAAAACTAGACTACATATAATAAGTGATACAGCAATACTTCCAAATTTGAGTGCCTACATGTTAGCCTGCATGAAAGTGTGCCCAATATATAAGCCAGTTTTCAAAATGAGTTGATTTGTCTTAAGTTTTCTCTCTTTTTCCCTCTATCCTGTTGAGTCAGCACAACAAAGAGAATACCACACCTTTGACGGGGATAGTAATTGGGAAGCACAGTCCGTCCAATGTCCATGGTGTTTGCTCCCTCACTTACTAAGATGCAGTCCTTGGGTATCAGTTCTCTGATATGATGAAAGACTGTGTAATAATTCATAGGCAGGGATTTTTGTAATGCTAATTCCTTAAAAATAAGAGATATGAGTAACTCCTATGCCTAGAATTTGTAATGAGGTGCAGAAATGAGACATGTAAGTAATAACGATGGAAATAAAAATGCACTCTGCTAGGTGAGGCTGAAGTATTTGGTCTTCCATGCACTACACCGAGGTCACTCCTTCTGTATCTATCCTGGTGACGCAACGTGTCTATCAGAGGCTCACTCAGCTCAGCAACCCTTGGATAGCCTATCATTAACAGGAAGCTACTGAACCTCAGTATACCCTGAGAGGCATGTGAAATTTTTCTGCACAGAGGTTTGACTATTGATAACCCTAAGCAAGCTGTCATCTGTGTGCTGGGAACCAACTAGTTCAAAAGGGTCATCTGCTAGAATTAATTTATTTTAGATCCCTATCTTGGAAACATGCATCTGAACTTGCAGAATGTAAGTTGCATAAAATTAGGCATATGCCAAGCATTTGTGGTCTTTTGGCCTTAATAGCTACTTGCTTTTAAACATAGACGATGCTTCCACCAGCACTGCTAAACAGCTAGACAGAACAATTACAGAAGAAAACTAAGGATGTATCTTCACGTAAGCTAGCTTCCACTTGGAGTACCTGCCCATTGCTTAGAGGTCACTGCCCATAATACAGCAGCTCTGTCTGTGGTCTTCTATTATTGGCTTTAAGAACCCAATCCTAAAGTTCAATGGCTTCCACAGTTTGAATTTATAGAAAACCTAGAATACTTAACTTACAGTTAAGTATTAAGACTTAACTTACAGTTCATAAGCCTGACAAGAGTAAGCCTGTACTAAATGGTATAAATTTTCAAAGTCTGAGTGACATGCCTGTCGGAAGTAATTAAGGAGCTTGGATATAGATCAGTGACAAAAATGGACTATGCATCGGTACCTGTTCAGGCAAGAAACCTCCTTTTTTCTTTAATGTAAAACTACCTTTGATCTTTCCTCATTGTTCACTATTTTCTCTTTCAGCCTCTTCCACCACTCAGAATTAGAAGGATATTTCCATGGTCTTTTGCTGAATTCTGCTAAGAGCTGGAACAACATTGAAATATGGAAGAGATTTCTTTCAGCATATTTAAAAAAAACATTATGAATAATGTTATCAAGAAAGATCTCAGCACAATCACAGTAACACTAATCAGAATCTTTCACATTTAATTTGGGAATACAGCGGATGCACAGCATGCATATGTTGCCTGAAAAAGGGGTTTTCTTGAACTTTTATTTCTTCTTTTTTCTAACTGGTAACTTACTTTACGTAATTCAGAGGAAATAAAGGTCAAAAGAGGAGGACACCCGACATTGTGTTACCTGATTAGTCACGGCATTTATGTCACCTAATAAAACTGCAGCTGGCCTCACATTATTTCCCAGCTCCTCTGCACAAATATCAATCTACATTTCAAAAAGAAAGACCACCATTAACTCAAGTATATTACAGAGAATTTTTTCAAACATCATTGAACAATGTCTTCATACCTTGTTTTGGCTGTACACACAACTTTTTCTGCCTTTCATTAAAACAACATTAGGAAATGCTTTATTCAAAGTAAAATCCCATAGTACATATTCATTTTAATAAAAGTACATATCTATCCTTAAAATTGACTGCTTTCTTCTTTCAAGCTCTTAGAGACCGTATCGAACTTTATTAGAACATTAAGGAGAAGGTGGTGATTTTAGTGATAATTATACGAGAATTAAATATCTAGGCTTAGGTATACTCTTAAAAGTCTATACAAAGCAGTAATTTTCTTACTGAGAAAAAGTTTGTGTATGTTACTTGACACAGACTACGAACTGAATTAGTATTTTAATACTAACCCTTGACATTGAAAAAAATTACTTTAAGGGAGACAAAAAATATTTTTCTTTACATTCTTTAGAAAAAGAAAACATACAAGATGTATTATTTCACAAGTCAAAAGGAATTCTAGCTTAAAAATTTATGCTATTCCTCTGGAAATGATGCAAAGTTTGGTAGTTGAGATTATGTTCCAGATCACTGAAGGCAGGCCAGTCAACACATTGAATCAACGACTACTCTTCGATCATAGACTCTAAGGGAGGAGATTTTAAGGGCATAAACAATTTAATGACTTGTCTTTCTAAGAGCCAGCAGATTGCCACATACATTAATTAGTTAAATAGCCTTTCTTCCTCTTTTCCTATTAAGATTTCTGGGTGACTGAGCTCTTGTAACGACTTACTGAAAGTAATTCTAGTTCAAAAAAATCCAGCTGCAAGAGAGCAGTCCAACAGCACGAAAGGTTTCACAATGTTAAGACAAATTGCTTTCAATCACAGAAATTTCAGTGCTCCAAAGATCACACAAGTACTATGAGTTTAAACCTGTATTAGTCAACTACATGGAAGTGTATGCCCTCCTCATTACAGGAGCACCAAGCCTTTGACAGCTGGAACAACGCTGCAACCATTTTTAGAAAAAATAAGTTAAAAAAAAAAAATCATTAAAGCAATCAGAATTATTTCTGGAGAACTACCATAACTATATGCACTGTACTCACTGAACATAGGGCAATATTTGCCACATGAAGTACAATACCAAAATAATTTACAACAATTGCTCTAGACAATGCTAGAGGACTTCCTCCAAGCAATAACAGTTTTCCTGCTTACCTGAATAACCCTTACATCTTCTCGAAACCTTGGTGGAAGACCAAAATGCAAAATCCAATTCAACCTTGCACCAAGTAAGATGATTACATCAGCATGCTGTAATGCCCTAATAAAGCGAAATATGACAACCAGATAAGGAAGAATTATTATTAAATTACATAGTTTTCAAAATTAGAAGTAATCCTAACCACTACAGCAAACCCCAGAATATAATCAGTCCTTTTTCTCAAAATCAAGATTGTTGTTGACCTCTCAGCTTAGCCTTCTGTTAATTTACCTTTCAGCTCAGCTGGGTAGACAATATTTGGTAGATTCTTTTATTCTCCATTTTTCTTAGCAGCATGCTTAACAGTGATAAAGCTAAGATGCTCAACAATGGACAATATTTTAATCCTAAAGTATGTAAATGCTCCATCTGCAAGCTGACCCTGTCCATATTCAGGCCTAGCAGGGTTCTTATAGTTAATTCACATTAATTTTGCCAAAAGCGCTCTTATAAGTTATTTTAAACACAGTCCTTCAGTATAGTTTGAAACACCTTATTTTTCTTTTTAAATAAACTGCAATTTAGTGAGGGTGTATTGCAAACACCACGCAGAGACAGCAGATAGCAAAACTTCAACTGCAAACGTGTGCATCTTAAGCTTCTGTTTACCATGTTAAACTAAAAAGCTAGTAGTTTGTCTAGTGTACTAAGTTACACATTTAACATAAACCATTTACCAATTTCATTTTATGTTACGAAATACACACCAACAACAGTGATACATCTACTTGCCATAGGTTTCATAACTACAGAAAATTAGCTCTCAGATAAAGCATCTTCCTGGCCAGCGTTCTATGCATTGCCAAAAGTGATCCACCTAAATCTGTTGTCCCTTTCCAAGCAAGATCTTCAGTGCTCTAAAATGAGGTGCAAAATGTGGTTGAAAATTTTTTGTTGTATGCATTTTGTCGTCCCTGGCATCTGTAGACCACCACAATTCCTAGTTGTTTCTCAGATGTTAGGATTAGAAGCCTTGCTTTATATTTACGTTGATCTTGCTGCAGCTACACAATTTGGATGGTTATCAGGAACTACTCCTTTTGCCATTGGTGTAGGCAAAAAAGGCAGTCCACAAAGTTCCACCAACTTTCTGATGTTGTTCTCAGCGTGTGAATAAGCAGCACCTAAATGAAATGAGAGAGACTGCTTAATACTACAGAAATCTGCTGTATTTGCTTTAATTTCAATTAACCTCATTACATGAGTGGCAGAAAGAGTACTACTTCCCATTATGAAAGCTGCCTGTTATTTTTCATTCTGGAGACCTCAAAACACAACATGCAGGTATTTAGGTTGAAATTGACCATATTTTTGATGAATGCTTTTTTTGTTTGTTTTTAAAAGACTTCTGTTGAACTATTTAGCTATTTCTATTTAGCTATTTCTGTAAAGCAGGGCCGGGAAAAATAGTAGCTTTTTTTTATCTAAAATGACAATTTTGAATGCATGAAGTTCTGTATTACAGGGCACACACTTCTGCAGCAGCAACAGATGACGACCTTTGTGTTGTGTCATTTTTCGCTTGCCCCCGGCATGTCACTGTATCTCATGCTAGGTAACGATCTGCCCGAACAGGTTTACTATAAGCTTTTAATGAAAAAAAGAGAAGCTCAAAGCAGACCTTGTAAAGATATGTGTTTGTGCATACATTTACTGTGATGCTACCTTCAGTACAAGGCTGCTGAACTCAGGTTGGCCATGCAAGCTAGAATAACTGTCTGGTCCTTGTGCAATGACTTTAGTCCATGAGCCTTAGCCTTAAATCCTGAAGAATAAACTTCTGTATTTCTTCCAAAAATTCTGCTAACACCAATATATAGTGGAAAGTCCAGATACATTTGTTCAGTAGATTCTCAATTATTGACATCAACTAAACACATACTACATATTTTTGAGCTTTCTACCTTTCACTTTCAAAGAACACCCTTTTGTTCATGTGTATCAAGCCAGAGAGCTAAAAAAAACCCCTCTCCTGAAAACTACTTTCTGTCTACTATTACATTACCTGCTCCATGATAAGATCCATCTCACCTCAATCATTTCACTCCCTGATTGAACACAGAACCTTTCTCCAAGATACAAATCATTCCCACACTGGCAGGAAGACAGCCTGGGTGAAACAAGCTGGTCATTTCAATTCTGTTCCTAGCAGACCCGTACCTTCAACAGAAACGCCACTGCAGTAACTAACATTCCACAAGGCGGGACAAAATAAGTGAACCAGCACAGAGAATAATTATGGTCTATCTTTTTTTACTCCTACTTCAGGAATGGCAGAGTACAATGGAAAGTCTTTAAAACAGCAGTGACAGCAACACCTGCTGTGTTGCTTCATGTCCCCACACAGGTAGGCTGGCACTTTCAGTAAATCCAAATGGAAAATGACCTTTGGTTATTCTGATTCTTGCTACTGCTATGTATGCCAGAGCATCACACGGAGAGTATCACTTCTATATTCTAACAGAATTCGTTTGGAATTTTGGAAGGGATCCCTTGGTATTTGCTCTAGGCTTAAGACAATGGTTATCTGCTTTTTTTCTACTTAAACTTTTATTTTGTCAGTTGACTTTTCTCTTCAACTAGATGAAAAAGACAACAGTTACGCAACAGAATAAAAATATTCTAAAAACAGAGCAGATTAGAACATCGAATTTCAAAGAAGTTTGGTTGTGGTTTTTGTTTTCTGTATGTTTTAAAAGAGTGTGAAAAGGAGATGGCTAACACTTATGGGGAAAAGAAATCACTTTGGCTGCTGTTCTTGTCCCGAACTTGTACAGTCCCGACCTACATCAAAGCATGCTACCTTTGCCAATGATTAGCAGAGGCTGCTTGGAACAAGCAATGACAGACACTGCTTCAGATACAGCAGAGTGTTCAGCCATGCTGATGGGAGGTGGCAGGCAGCATTCCACATACCTGGAAGTCAAGCAAAACAAGACAGGCTGTAAAAAATTCCAAACAAAAAATGGTGAAACACAAAACCTACGATTTAGCATAAAACTGCAGTTGCTACACACCATGTTACTCATGGCATTTATCAGAACAGGATATATTTTTTTAAAACAGGCTTTGAAGTTTTTCTTGCGTGTTTCTTTAATCTTATATGTGGTGTTGCTCCACAGATTTACAAAGTGACATCACTGTATTACTATCATATTAATTCATTCATTTTGCACATTTTATTACAAACACTAATCTATATCACGTTATGATGGAACGTGACATTTAGAGGCTAGATTTTCAGTATCATTTCAACCTTGTGGCAAATTATTTAATCTATTGCTGTAGTTTATATTTTTCTTGTTTTAAGAAAATACAAAAGGAACTTAAAATTAAAATTTCTTTTATTCAGTGACTTGAAAAATAATGAATGGAACCTTTACGCACTTGACAGCGCTCTTATTCACCTGAAGATTCACAAAATCCCCAGGTATGTCAATATAGCAGGAACCTGGACGACCATATATGCTGGTTCTTACAGCCTAGAAAACAGATAATCACAGTTTTAACCACTGTTTGAAAGTAGTTTAAGAAGCTTTATGTGTGAAAACCCCCCCCCAAGAAAACCCTTCTGCAGGCAGAGAAGGAACATGCTGTTTCATACTGCTCAACCACCACAGGGAAGGCTCCCATGGATTGATTTATACAAATAAATTCAAGTTTTGATAGCTATTCACATTTTCCCTTATATACCAGCTGAAGCCTTCAGTAGATGCACAGTATTATACTGTAAATTCTTTGTTTAATTTACAGTGAGACAACTGCATTATCAGTTGTGTTTGGAAATGTTAAACTTTCATGCTGAATTCTATTTAAAGTAACATAAACAGAGAAAAACTCAAGACAACCAGTGTCTCAATTTTCTATTACTTTTGCTTCCAGTTGTTCTATTACAGGGAGATGCTTTACTGAATTTGCACTTCTGGAAACAGTATCACTGTGTGCAGAATTTAGGCTGACATGGCTGAAGTGCTGCTACAGCAGTAGCAAGAACTTTTGTAACCCTTTCTGAAGCACTGAGATAAGGATGTGTTTTCTCCTGTTCTCTCAAAAAAGACCCCACCAAACCAACAACCAAATTCAAAACTCAAACACAACCATCTCCGACACTCCCCCTTCAAATCTCCTTCACATAATGAGAGGGGTAAAAGAGCTAAAGTTTGTAGTATTCTGTTCCTAGTGATTGTACCTCTCCCTAAAAGCATTTCTTTCACTAAAATTATCCAGCTCTGACTGAAGCTAACGGAAAACGCTGCAGGGATCAGCAAGCATCAGACTGGACCAGAACCTATTTCTAACCTGTTCCATAGCATTGCTCATAGGAAAAAACCTCCCTGGCTGTTAACTTACTCAATCAACCATCACCAAAAGGATCAAACTATTTACAGCAACAACTATACAAAAAAAATAGACCCTCAAAACTTCTACAGAGGAGACAGTAACTTGATGTTCTGTTGCTAATTTAGTATT